ACACCACATACTGAAGAAACTTGCAGACAAAGTGCGTCTGTTGGGAAACTTCCCCGTCTCTTCCTGCTATCACCGTGAAAGTGTGGAACAAGTCCTTGAGCGCTTTCTGCAACGGTTCCCTGACCGACTGGCCACTGCTGTTGTACGGCTGGTTTGAATTCTGGGCACTAGACGTGGTCGTCGCAAACAGCGCCACGGCGTCCCCAGTCTCCGTCACGCCAGACGTTAACCGCAGCAGCTTGCCCGAGGGGCAGAGGCCTTCCAGATCCTGCAGGACAAGTATCATAAACAACGTGGCTGGTCTCCGAATAATGCCTTGTACTATGGCGAGGGCCTCCAAATTTTATCATATGTAGACAATTTGGTCAATGAATTCTATGCTTGCGGGCCAGACAATGAACATCAAATTTATTTGAAAATATATGACAGTGCAGTGGTACCTCTCCTTCGGTGTCTCGGCGACTTCTCTTGCGACTGTTCACGTGACCGGGCGCGGTATTGTTCTGAAACTCGAGCGCAGCGAAAACACAGTACGCACAAAGCTTCGCCAGGGCAGATGCCTGAGGCTCCACCAACTCATCACTCCTGAAAAAGCAGACAGAATGTTATTCTCCACATTTCCACTGGCACTTAATGTTTCCTCACTAGACCCCTAGTTTTCTTCGCCACACAGGGATCAAAGACGCATGTGAAGATTACGCCTGCACATCCATAATTCAGAATAGGAGACGTCCGTAGAAGACTTGCGCTGTTTCACCTCAATACTTGCAGAGCACGCACACATATTTCTCATAGAAGGCAAGATAAATGGACACAATAAGACATACAGATACTCACCCTGTATATATCCACATAAAAACTTCCATTGTTAATAACACAGGATTTCAACATGAAAGTACAAATTACTCACTGCAACCGGTTATGCAGGTACTGTGGCAGCACTTGCAGGAGCAGAGAGAGCGTGCAGTGTTCAATGTCTAGGTGGAACACGCCAAATGCAAGGTCAACCGCTCGGTCTAGATCCTCTTGGTAGCGAAACTTCAATACTTCCTGTCAATAAATAAGAATATCCTAACTAAGGGCAACGGAGACCTCGATTTCAGATATTTTAGCTATCTAATCCATCCCAGACACCCATTAAATCTTTGAAGCTGAAGCTCGTCTGCATATTATTTCATAATTCAGTCTGTACCTCAAAGAAAACAACACTTCGACACTAGAAGGATCGATTAATTGACGCTGTTTAAGGAAATAATGACTGTTTATTATGAGAATCAAACAAAACAAATGTACTCTGTGGGAAAAATGCAGAGTCGCTTGTTATTAAAGCTGGCGGTACATATGGCTTCCAATACATTTCAAGGGGTTAAAATGTTGTTAGCCAATAACCACACTTCATTAAGTTATTCAGATACATTCCGTGACACGAAGCTCACCTTTGTCAAATTAGTTACAAACCACTGCGAGCCACCAGTGTTGAGCAGGCTCTCGAGCGAGTGCGTCGCCTCAATATTGACCCATCCCCTCTGCTGGATGCCTGCCCACACAGAAACAAGCTGTTCACTGATTGGCTGCCGTGAAATAATGCTGAAAGTCACATCAGAAACACGTGATTACTGCTCCAGTACTTCAACTCGTATTTCCGCCAACTCCATGGAGCAGCATCCTGAAGAAGCTAAAAATCGTTTGGCTAATCAAAAAAAACACTGCGTTTTATAAAACCCAAAGGTTCACAAGAACCTAAACTGGACCCTATCTAAGCCAGATGAATCCAATCATCCTCACACCATATTTCTTTATTATCCATTTTAAAATTATCCTTCTACCCCGCTTACAACACCCAAATGTTCCCAACCAAAAACCTGTATGCATTTTAATAATATATTTTTAAAAAGACACATAATCTTCTACTAAACCACATTTCACAACCGCACAAATAATTAACAAAATTTCAAACAGAGAATTTCAACACCATGCTTACCTGTGAGACAAGGTCATCACTTTGACCTTTGACTGGGTCGGCGGATGAACGTCATACTGCATCTTACGAATTATCTGGAACATCAGAGCTGACCTGTAGAACAACAAAGTTTAGTTAATTTCTTCAAAACTCGTGGTGTACAACTGCACACCACAACACGTAGATGGAACACTTGAAAAGAGTAGAGATGTTGCCGTAGCAACAGCGACAATAAGAGAATACAACTAAAAAAAATCTCTCATTTCTATTACATAGTCAAGAAATTCCCTGCTGTATATGGAAATTTAAGGCTCGTGTTTTATTCTTTATAGGTGTTTAGAAAGGAAAATACAATAAGATGATATATTTTAATACGCTAGCACCGAGACTTAACTAAACAGTCGTTAACGAAGAGATGTTCGAAGACTGGAATAAACTGACGGTTCTTTAATGAAGTTGATACTTGCCTCTCTTTGAAGTTGTCCTGCTGCGACATGTCTTCATTTGTCAGAGGAGTAAGGAACTGTTGTACCATGTTCAGGGGCTTAAGCAGCGCATCCTGGTGCAAGATCTGGGCACAAAGTTCAGTAACACATTAGACACACGTCTTGACATGGTCCAGCGGGGAGCTCTGGAAAACTTGGTTGATGAAGCTTCTGGTTCCTTGACTAGCTCAGCTACTATCAGGTTCTCAAGAAGGAGCGTGCTCCACAAAGTTACTTAGCGAGTTTCAACACGTGACTTAAAAAGATAATATATCAAGGAAGGGGACAAGCTAAATCTGAAATTTTACAACTTTCGAGGCAGACATTTTTCTTACCACTCGGTATTTCTTGTAAGCACGCACTCCGTCAATTGCGATCTTCTAGGTTGTGATACCACATAGTATATATTGTGGTTGTCACTGATTCAAAGGAATATACTGTCTCCATCTCAGAGACAGAATAGGTTAAGTTTTCACTAATCACATCCCATTTACTGACAATAACCAACACGACACTCCAAGACACAAGGAATGATCAAGTAAATGAGATAAATTCACCACATTAACCAACGACAATTTTTGAGCAACACGTTCTTTGGTTGCGAGATACCCAACATTTTACAGCGTACAATAATTTCAAATACAGAAATTCCATTGTCATTACTGAGTCAGGAAATAACAACCTGCATATAACTGCAGAGCCACGCGGTTGCGCACACCGGAAGGCAGCACATACGGGACCTCATTGCATCAAGGATTCGTTTCACGTCATTAGCCGTGACCGCTCCGTGCTCCCACGCCAGAAGCACCTCCTTGATAGCTGCTGGTACGTGAAGACACACTTCATGCCACTTAACTTGGCTGGAACATACCAAACGTCGACTTAACGTTACCCTTCCATCTCCTTCTTTCTCTCCCAAGTGAACGTTTCCCAAGGAGTTCCCAAAAAAATTCTGTACGCAAACCTTGTCTCCCATATTTCTAACTCAGTCCACAGCCTCCTTGATTTTACTACACTAACAACACTGCGTGACTTGAAAAGTGCAGAAAATCTGTCAGATTTAAATCTAAAAGTTTCATTTAAGTTTCACCAAAGTACGTGTGCAGAATGCTATTATGAGAAAGGTCAAATCAACCCCAAACTGCTGCAACATTTTACTGTAATTGAAAGTCACCAAGAGTTTAGATTTTTTTAAATGTTGCCAAATCACTGCCATTCTGTTGATACTTGGGGCTCTGCGTGTGATTTTAACACTTACGGTGACAATTTTTCAATCCTCAGCACTTACGTGAATGTAAAAAAAGAAGTTTTGTCGGCAATTTCAGTGACTTTTGTTTATATACATATACAACCTAACACCCAAAATGAGTTCAAACGTTCACCTTAAAATTATATTATTTTAGGAAAGCCTTAAAAAAATAACTCATGGTAAAAAAGGAACCTAACCTAACCTAGTTTTAAAATCACCATCAGCAGAGTTGAACTGAGCAAGAAGGCCATCAACCCTAGCAGGATCACAGTGTTGCAACATTTGATCAGGCGACTTGGGTCGTCCACGTTCCACCATGCACTCTCTGACCCACTGCTCGAAGAAAGAATCACCTCCCTCCTCAGAGAGCACAACCTGTGAGCACATCACATAACGATGAACTTAATGATACATGAAGGTTCCGTACTGTTAACGACGTTCATAGGCTATGCCGCAGCTAAGGTGGTTAGTCACTGCTTCTCAATGTGGAGGCCTGTGTTCATGCCCAGAATTTGGGATTTGTGGTAGACATAGTGGTCTTGGAACAGGTTTCCCTCCAAGTCCATCAAGTTTCCCCTATCGATATCATTCCACGACTACTCCATATTCACTCACGTCCCACCTGGGGGACAGAAAATGGGCCTATTAGCGGCCCAGTTGTACCCAGACATAATCTAGCCCCACTGCAATTATAACAAAGTTGATCCTGGTTTTGGGTGCCTGCTAATGTTTCAGAAGGACACACTGTTTCCATCATGAGGGCTGAATCGAGGCGTTCTGTGAGTTAATGGCAAACCTGGGCAACCACACGATGTCGGTGCAAGACCATCATATGCATATGAAAATACAGTAAAATTGTAAAAAATGTCTGCACAATATGGGAGTAAGAAATTATAAATGATAAGGATTAAATAAGCCACGTGGATAAGATCAGATCACCTCTGGGCCATATGTGTGAACAATGGAGCACAGCATCAGAAAGGTGACATCAAACAACAAGGCCCTCGTCTGAGAAGCCTTCCCCCCTTCACCTCCGACCTGCTTACTGCATTCATTGAACTTCAGCAGTTTGGTCACAAATGTCCGCAGCTTCCCTTCTACGGCCGCTACAGCCAGGATCAGTTCGAAGCTCTTTCCTGTTAGCACCTGGCACAGTACGCTTAGCAGTGCCTCCTGCAACATTCACACAGACTGATTAAAACCTCGTAGTAAGTATCCCAGCGCAAGAAGCTACGCAACAATCACCAAATGGTTTCAAAGGTTCTCAAAAGAACCAATGGTTCATTCCTTCAGAGCTTTAATATTCATGCTGAGGCCAACATAACCATAAATTAGTGTTAATACAACTTAGTTTCCATTTATATTAATAATTTTCATTAGTACAGATACCAACTCTACGACAGTTCAATTCAAAGATTCACACTGTTGCCAATATCATTATTTTTAATGTGAGTACGAGAAATGTTCCCCACTTAATGGTACCTGCACCTTGTCGAGGTGGTGGGGCTTGAGTACCTCAGTGACCCCAAGAGCTACTGGTAGGGCCTCCCTAGCCGGATTGGTCGAGGGGGAGAGGTCAGACTAAGACAGGTA